AGCAGGATGGGAATTCGACAACCTTGCTCATGACTGAGTCCTCCTTTTTCGAAAGGATTTCGGCCTATATGGCTGAAAACGAATCAAAGGCGGCCTTCGAGGCTGAAATAAATAAACTGGCTGTAAAGGTGAACGAAATAAATGGGGGTAGCTCGAAAGGCTCACCCTTTGAAGAACTCGAAATAGATCAAAGGCTGGACGCCATCTATGATAAAGAACCCTTAGGCTTCGAGAGGGACCCCATAGACTCAGGTGCCAAAATGTTGGCGCAGGATCCACTCGAAGAAGTGAACTTAGGGGATGAGAACACGAAAAGAATAACCTACATAAGCGCAAAACTTAACCCAGGCCTCAAGCAGGAAGTGATCGAAGTCCTCAAGAAAAACAAAGATTGCTTCGCGTGGGATTATGACGAAATGCCTGGTTTAAAGAGGGAGTTAGTGGAACATAGACTTCCAATCAAGGATGGCAAGAAGCCCATCAAGCAAACTCCTAGAATATTCGCACCAGCGGTTCTCACAAAGATCAAAGCTGAGATCGAAAGGTTGCTGCGTTGCAGATTCATCAGAACCACAAGGTATGTCGAATGGTTAGCAAATATAGTGCCTGTTATTAAGAAAAACGGTTCTCTGAGAATTTGTATAGATTTTAAGGATTTAAATACTACAACCCCTAAAGATGAGTACTCCATGCCTGTGGCAGAAATGTTAGTAGACTCTGCTGCAGGATTCGAATATTTAAGTATGTTAGATGGATACTCTGGGTACAATCAGATTTTTATTGCTGAAGAAGATGTTGCCAAGACAACATTTCGTTGCCCAGGAGCCTTAGGCACATACGAATGGGTGGTGATGCCTTTTGGTTTAAAAAATGCTGGGGCAACTTATCAAAGGGCAATGAATTCGATTTTCCATGATTTCATTGAAACTTTTATGCAGGTGTATATTGATGATATAGTCATCAAATCTACATCTGCAGAAACCCATTTGCACCATTTGAGCCAATCATTCGAACGAATGAGAAAACATGGCTTAAAGATGAACCCCCTTAAATGTGCATTTTTTGTGCAGGCTGGAGATTTCCTTGGCTTTGTGGTTCATAAAAAAGGAATTGAGATCAACCAAAATAAAACCAAAGCCATAATGGAGACGAAAGCACCTACGTCAAAAAGGGAGCTGCAATCTTTACTAGGGAAGATTAACTTTCTCAGAAGGTTCATTTCGAATCTGAGTGGAAGAACCCAAGCTTTCTCTCCGTTGCTTCGTTTGAAGCAAGGCCAAGCCTTCGAGTGGAACGAAGCCCATCAGGAGGCATTTGACAAGATAAAAAGATATCTCTCTCAGCCTCCCATCTTGTCTCCACCTTCATGGGGAAAACCCATGAGATTGTACATATCTGCCTCTGAAGTTAGTATAGGTAGTATGTTAGCACAAGAAGATAGCAATGGCATCGAAAGAGCCATATACTATTTAAGTAGAGTATTGAATGATGCAGAGACTAGATATAGCAATATAGAAAAGCTATGTCTCTGTTTGTACTTTTCTTGTATGAAACTTAAGTATTATATAAAGCCTGTTGATGTTTATGTTTCATCTCATTTCGATGTTATTAAACACATGCTTTCGAAACCAATAATGCATAGTAGAGTTGGTAAATGGGCTTTAGCCTTAACAGAATATTCTTTGACTTTCATGCCTTTAAAAGCTGTGAAAGGCCAAGTGATTTCTAATTTCATTTTGGACCATTCACTGGTTGAACAGACTGTCATGAGTTACGCTGAAATGCAACCTTGGAAATTATACTTTGATGGTTCGACCCACAGGAATGGAAGTGGTGTTGGAGTCCTTATAATTTCTCCTGAAGGAATTCCAACAAAATTCAAGTATAAATTAGATGGTCCTCGTTGCTCGAACAACGAAGCTAAGTACGAAGCGCTTATTGTTGGACTTGAAGCTTTGTTGGAATTGGGGGCAACTAGAGTCGAAATTAAAGGAGACTCAGAGTTAGTGGTCAAGCAAATAACAAAGGAGTACAAATGCATAAAGGAAAATCTGATGATATACTTCGTCATAGTTAACAGGCTACTTAGAAAATTTGAATACATGGATATTCAACATATACCAAGAATAGAAAACCAAGAAGCAAATGACTTAGCACAGTTGGCTTCAGGTTATAAAGTTTCTGCCAAAAACTTTGAGGATTTGGTTGAATTAAGAGGTAGAGTTATGGCTACTAGATTCATACCATCAGATCTAGAGAGTATAAAATTGGGTTATGCTGAGAAATAGGGATTCAAAATACTAGCCATAGACACATTATCAGATGCAGATTGGCGAAGTCCACTTGTGAGCTATTTAACAAATCCAACTTTGAATGTTGATAGGAAGATAAAATATAGAGCATTGTCATATGTCCTCATGGGAAATGAATTGTTCAAAAAGACCCAGGAAGGCGTATTACTGAAATGCCTAGGAGAAAGTGAGGCATACTTAGCATTGTCAGAAGTCCACAATGGGGCATGTGGGGCACATCAAGCAGGTCATAAAATGAAATAGTTGTTATTTCGATATGGCATGTATTGGCCTAGCATGCTCAAAGATTGTATAGACTTTGCTAAAGGGTGTGAAGAATGCCAGAAACATGCAGGGATTCAACATGCTCCTGCAAGCGAGTTACATTTGATCATTAAACCATGGCCCTTCAGAGGATGGGCATTGGATTTAATATGAGAAATAAATCCTGCTTCGTCTAAAGGACAGAAATATATCTTGGTAGGAATAGATTATTTTACCAAGTGGATCGAAGCAATACCATTAATAGTTGCTGATCAGGAGGCTATTATTGAGTTCATACAGAAACAAATTATCTATAGGTTCGGATTGCCAGAGAGCATAACCACATACCAAGGTTCTGTGTTTACTGGTAGGAAGATGCAAGAGTTTGCTCAAGAAATGGGGTTTAGATTACTGACATCAACGCCATATTATGCTCAAGCAAATGGTCAGGTCGAAGCAGCTAATAAAGTGATAATAGGGTTAATCAAGAAACATATTGGTAAAAAGCCAAGGAACTGGCATAAAACTTTGGACCAAATACTATGGGCCTGTAGAACATCTTCTAAAGAAGCTACTAACACCACGCCTTTCCAACTCACATTTGGTCATGATGCAGTTCTGCCAGTAGAAATTCATCTACAATCAGTTCGAATTCAAAGACAAAACGAAATTCCATCTGCATTATATTGGGAGATGATGATGAATGAGTTAGTTGAGTTGGACGAAGTTAGATTGCATGCATTGGAAATCCTGATGAGACAAAAGGAAAGGGTGGCCAGGGCATATAACAAAAGGGTGAAAGGAAAAGCATTCACTATTAATGACTTAGTCTGGAAAGTCATATTGCCCATGGACAAGAAAAATAAAACGTTAGGTAAATGGTCACCTCATTGGGAAGGACCTTTTCGAATAATAAAGATATTTTCAAACAATGCATATGAAATCGAAGAATTGATGGATGATAAACGTGTCCTAAAGGTTAATGGGAAATATTTAAAGAAATATAAGCCACGACTGCAGGAGATTCGAATAATAACAACGTAATCAAAATATCATAAAAATGCCAAAATGGTAATATGGGATTGCCAAAATGGCGTTGTTCGGATATTACAGACAAAAACCAAACTTCAAAACTAATTAAAACTAAGATTTAAAAATAGACATTATTCTTCAATCTATTAAAGGTACTTCGAAAGGACTCAAGCCTTTGTTGAGTAAAGCGCCTTGCTCCTTCTAGGGTAGCTACTTCTCCTTTAAGCTATTCTGCTGCCTCCATTTCTGCAAGTCCTTTGTTGAGGAGCTCTTCGAAATGTTCACCAGCAGTATTGGTTTCGTAGGCCAATTGTTGTTGTTGAGCCTCCTTAACCTTTTGTTGAAGTTCGTGAATTTGCCTTTCCCAGAGAAGGATAGACTCAGCTCGAGCTTCATAGTCAGTTTTTGCTTGCTTTAGATGCATGGCTTGATCTTCAGCTTCTTGAGAGAGCTTCAAAGCATGCTCATAGGCAGCGTCCATTGCAGTTCGTTTTTCTTGGACCTTTCTGGTAGCAAATTCATCTTGGAGAAGGCACCCAGTCACGTTGTCTAACAAAGATTGTAGGTCGAATAAGATAGTGCTGACTGGCAAGGAGCAGGTAGCAAGGTTGACTTTTATAAGTAGCTCCTTCATGGTATAGCAAGCTGTACTATCCTGTTTGAGCACTTCGAACAAATCCACATCAAGGATTGTTCTCTTAATTCTGTTAAGAAGTACAATTCTATCATCTGTGGGCAACGGATTGCTAGTCGAACTAGTACCAGCCCTAGCAGGAGGAATATCCCTTTGAGCTAGTTTCGCCTTCATGTACCCAATAGGGCCAGTTCGTCTTAGGAGAGCAAGCTCCTCTTCAGTCATTCGGGATAGAGACGGTTGAGGAAGTTCCACGCGCAAGGGAGTCACATCCATTTCGACTTCCATGGGTTTATTGGTCGCGTCACCGTCACCTTCACTCGTTTCCTGCTCATTGCCTTCTTCATTATCAACCAGATCCACCACTTCGATATCTTCGTTCTCACTGCTGTTTGCATCTGACTCTGTTCCAGCAGTCGAACCATTGTTGGCATCTTCTTCCTCAGACCCTTCCTCTGCAGATTCTTCGTTTCCTTGATCAGAATCAGCCTTCTCTCCTTCAGCGTGAATATCCTTTGGATTCTCTTGAAGGGTTTCAAGAGGGGACTTTTGAAGAGAAGTCTTTTGTAAAGTCTCTGCAGATTCATGAAGCGTTGCTTCATTTGTTTCTTTTAGAGGGGGAGAAGTGCTCTGGTCATCTTGCTGCTCTGAAGCCCCAGTCAGAACCGCCATGTTGGAGGACCCTTTGTTCTGCACCAGGTTGCTGGAGTCCCCATGAGGAGAAGAGTTGATGGGAGCAGCAATTTTTGATGGAGAAGTCGAAGTGGTAAGAGCTGGGTTCAAAATGTCCTACAGAGGCAAAGAATATTAAGAGCATGCACCAAGGTAATGAATAAATCATTTTGTTAGAAATTAGAGTTCAATTTACCTGTGGATTCTCAGAAGAGAGATTGCTATCTATATGTTCCAACATTACGTTGGAGGTCGAAGGTGGATTTTTTGATTTAGTTGAGGGAGCAGCATCTCTGAAATCGAGTCCAGAGATACCAGTTGGTGCAGCACTTTTGGAAATTTCCTTCTTCTTCAAAGCAGTTGGTGAATTCCCTCCAGCATTGGGATCCTTCCCAGTAGTGTTTGTTTTTCTTTTCTTTGGAGTGGTTGGCGGGAGTTTGTTAGTCTGAAAAGATTTAAACATGAGTTAGATTCAGATCATGAGACATTAGTGTATTTGAAACATCAAGGCTAATTGATTACCTGTGGAGTTGGAACAGTGGTTACCACTGGTGTTGTTGTTGTTGCAGCAGTTGTTGTTGGTTTGGATAGAGTCACATTATCAATGGTTTCGACAGATGTTTGGGAGGCGTTTCCCTCTTTTGACTTTGAAGCATCAGTCTTTATCCTGATGGCTGAAAATCGAAACAATTAAGGCAAAAGTTAAAAAGGTAGAAAGTGATAAACATTTGGGATTTTCCCAAGCATTCGCACCTGCGCCTTGATCAGATTTAATCGACATGGCAGAAAGGTCATAGCGAAGATGTCCTGGGAAATCGTGGAGCCAATGTCGAGCCCATGTCACAGTCTCAGATGGCTTTGGTTTCTTTTGAAGATATTTGAACATTTCTTTGCAAGTGAACCACCAAGGGTATGGAGGAAACCAAGCCAGAGCCAGTTCTGAGGTAGGCAATCTAGGAAATTTAGGTGGATGCATTTCGAATGCCAACCTATACCTATCCTCAGGTGACAACCCTGAAGGAAGTTTTAGCTTAGAAATTTTTTCTTTAAATTTTTCCTTCAAGGTCTCAGCCGCTTGATGCACAGTGGATTCCAAGTGTGTGGGATCATAAGTAGTTTCAAAATAATTTTGAAAAGCCCTAATCTCTTTGGCATGAGTGAACATACCTTTCTTGGAGTGTACCTGCACATCAAACGCATCAGTTAGTTTCTGTTGAATAGAGAGGGTATCGAACATATAAGATTGGTAGAACTTTGTCCACCATTCCAGAAAACCCTTTGCTGTGAGGTGTGTAGGTTCGAAAGGTATTAGTTCAAAGTGGGCGAAGCCTTGATATTGTTCCTGTTGTAGTTTTGCTTCTCTTGCTTTGAAGGTTCGCCCAGAGGTGATGGCACTTTCTGTTTGGAACAGGGGTTCAGGGATTAGTTGGCACAGGCCAAATTGTCTCGAAACGAAGTTGGGTTGATAAGCAAAAAGGAAGATTTGATTCTTAGAGGGAGTAATTCGTGAGGAGATTAATCTGGGAAGCAAAAAGACTTTCCATACATCTTGAATTTCTTTGCTTTTGATTGCTTCTGAGAGAGCCATGGTGAACCATGATGGTCCATGAGTCCTTGAAGCGAAGGGCGCCATGGTCTCTTCGAATTTAAGCCTCTTGGAGAAAATCATGATATAGTTGGAGAAGAGAACTTTGAAGTCATCCTTATCATCGTTTGGGGTAAGTCTTCGCAGCCTAGTACCTTCGATGATTCTATCCGCTATTTCCGGATCTTGCTCAACAATAGTGTTAGCAGTTGATAGTGAAGGTTCAAACATGGCATTAAGCCATAACTGGAGTAACCAGAAGGGGCCAACTAGAAGGATGTTTTTGGAGGTGTGGGATTTCAAACTCGAAACAGTTGATCTTAAACTTTCGTAAAGATCAACAAGTAACAGTTCGCTTAAACACACCCTCTGATTCTCATGTAAATCTCTAGCTAGAGGAATGAACCTGCTGGCTACCTGTAGGGACCTGCTGCAGAATACATACTTTGATAACCATAAGGTGAGGAAAGCAATTTGTTCCACATCTGACACACTGTCTCCTTCAGTGTGGTGGTGGCTAATGAACTTTGAAAAGCTGGCTAATTTGACTTCGAAGTCAATAATGCTCGAATGCTCTTCATTGTCAGGAATGTAGGTTTCTCCTACTGGTGACAAACCAGTAATGGCTGCTATGTCAAAAAAGGTGGGTGTAATCATTCCCCCAGGGAGATGGAAGGTGTTGTAGGTACTGTCCCAGAAATATAAGGACGAGAATAATAATGGATGGCTATAGGTGAAGCCTGGTTTCGATAATTTAATCAAGTTGTAAATGCCTAATTCCTCCCATTGCTGGGATTTCTTGGCTTCTACTTTGGTAAACCAGTTGTGGTAAGTTGTGTCAGAGGTGGGGCAGGATCGAAATGGTTTGAAGTTACTCTTCACATAATCTAGCACAAAAGGGTCCTTTGGGGAATTGATTGGATTTTCCACGGTGGTCGAATCAGAAGACTCCCCTGTCTTAGGGATATCCATTTTATTAAACAAAGGCTTAAAATTATAACAAACAGGAAAAAATTTTCTAGTATCTTTTAAGATTTCAAAGACGGTAAGAGGACCCATTAAAGCAAACCTCTTGCCAGCGGCGTTAGTGGGAATTAGTACCTGAGATGCGTAGAGCATTTCCTTCTCTTTGGAGATCATCTGGGGAATAAGCACAGATTGACCTTGATAGGTGCCAACCTTGCTTTCCATTATGGTTCCTGTGTTCTTTCCTTTCTTTTTTGAAGCTTTTTTCAGTTGGGATGATGTTGAAGAAGACATTGTTGAAGAGTGTTGGAGGTTTTAGGGTTTCGGTGAGAAGAGAGGAAGAAAAGATTCAAAATGTGGGAAGAAAAAATAAAAGACTAAGTTGATGGGTTTTTATAGTGTGGAAGTTTAAACATCCACTGAGTAAGATTGGGATACGTGGGAGTCGTGGGTTGGATTGAGAAGGAGGTGGCGTAAAAGTTGATATTGGTAATAGGCGTGATTAAATAATAATCATTGTTTTATAACTGCACCATGTTGTGAAATGGTTCAAGGCGGTTAAGGAATCTGAAAGGCGTCGTGATTGACGTGACTGGAGTCATATGCAATAAATGTTACGATTATTCAAAGGTCGTATCAAAATCTTGCATATATGTTTAAAATAAGTATTTCTCAAAGGAATCGAAATACATATTTTAAAGGGGCATTTTGTTGGCTGGAGATTTTGATGATACTGTTCGAAGTGAAGCAAGTTGGATGTTTCGTTGGAATAAAGCAATATGTCATGTTTCGAAATGGTAGAAGCAGTGCTTCGAATGGGCACGTCAAAACTCTGAGCTTCGAGTGACAGTTATAGGGATATATTCAAAAGAAGTCTCGAAGTGTTAACAAGGTTGTGTCCAAGAAATGATTTCGAAACGAAGAGTGCCAAAACATTTGAAATTCAAACGCAAGCAGGATGTTCGAAATTTAAAATATATGCGCTGGAGCATTCGAAGACGCGTGGAAGCTAGAGAGGGGCATTGCTTTGCATGTTCTGAACGTGGAAGAATCTTATAAGCAAGACCGTTATGGTCGAAGTAGTATAAATAGAAGTCTTAGCGTTAGGATTTCGTGTGTCATATCTATTGTACAAAAATTCAGTAAACATTCAAAATACCACATGGCTAGGGAAACGAATGCTCGAACAATGTACGTATGATAACACCAAATGTTTATGATTCAATAAAACTCTTTATCATTTCCAGTTTTTTCCTCTATCTTCATGTCAATATCATTCAAAAGCCTTTACATTAAAGTATTTTTATTCGAAGTCTTTTACTGATGTCTTGCATTTAAATGTTTTCTTTCCATTTCAAATCCTTTACATTTCAGAAACTTTTGTATATTTCATGCCTTTATCTTCATGCTTTTATCATTCGAATACCTTTTTCATTTAAAGTCATTTCACTGATTTCTTGCATTTAAACGCTTTCTTCATATTTCGAGTCTTTTACATTCCAGAGAATCTTTTACATTACATGTTTTTACACTTCGAAGTTATTTACTTGTCTTTTTGCAGTTTTACATGTCTTTACAATTGAACCTTTATTCATGCAATTTAGTTTCACACGTATTTACTTAATCATGTCATTAGATCTTTAATAGAGTAATCGAAGTAAGTTGAACACCTACACAACATTCTAAATACCAACCATGAATATCAGTTCTATAGTGAGAATTATCCAAATGACCAATACACCATAGGATCAATCTAGTCGATCCTGCAAGTTACCAGAGAGATTAAATAACAGTCATTAAGATTATTTGATAGTTTTGAGGACTAGCGGTTGTTTACCAGAAATAACTGTAAATAAGAATTCATCTGTATACGACTGTTACTCTGACCAATTTTTGTGAAGACTTAATGTATCTGAAGTTTGGTATTCTCAAGAGATTTAGTATCTTTGCTTGTTTAGTTTCAATCCAAAGGATGAGAATTCTACATTGACTCATTATGTCAAATGGTGGCTTTTTATTGGTAAGACGATTCTTTTTCCTAGCTTTTACCTTATGCTTTAGGATAGTCCCTTCATCTCCTCCCATCTTCTTTATTTTCAAAAATTTTCTCCCTCATTTTCAAAACTATTCTTATTTTCCAAACTTGATCCACTTTCACAATAAACTTGGACTTAGGTCCATGTATTTTCAAAAATATTTTCTTAATCAAACTTTAACCAACTTAATAATGCCTTGACATTTTTGTGAGAAGACTAAAAGTCAATCAATCTCATTTAGACTATTTTGCCACTTTGGCTTTTTACTTTAAACTTTTCTCAAAGGATTAGACTCTTGTCAGCCCTTGTAGTGATGTGAGCTACTATACTTCTACGATATATAGTGAAGTGAGATATTTTTCACTTGGGTGTTGAGTGAGGCTTTGTTGATTTTAAAATCCAAGTCATATCCTCCACTTTGAGATGACGCAAATTACCCTTTCTCATAATCGTGGGTAGTAAGTATGTTTTCCACTCGGATACGACGGTGATGTCTCGTCTCTTAAAATTAACCAACACACTTGTATTTCAAATTTTTTAAAGCTGAACTACGAGTACCCTGATCCCCTATTTCACAGAAGGTGGTACGTAGGCACTAAAGGTTCGCAACCGCAGCGGGTGAAAAAATTGTAAAAATATACTTCTTTCCTCATCTCCACCATCTATTTTTGTATACAACACTTATAGCCAAAATACATAAATTTAAAAAGAGGTTCATGTAGAGTACCGTAGATGTTTAGGATGCTAATACCTTCCCTTTGCATAACCAACCCCCGTACCTAGATTCTCTCCCCCTCTTTTTTGGGTTACTCGCTCTTTTCCCATTCCTTTGGAAACAATAAAGCGCAATGGCGATTTTTATTTTGATTTATATTAGTTAAGTCAATCCAATGACTTAGTCTCAACATTTCTACCGCTACACTTACATGCATGAATGTCACAATTTTCTACTAATGTACATATAAACATGGTCTGTATCTGTCAGACACCAAGAAATGATAAAAAAACAATATAATAATTTAGAGACTCAAGCATCAAAATGAATTCAAGTGAGCATGAAATGAGCTAACCTAGTTTAAAGTTGAAATTTTTAACATCTTTAGATCAAAATGAAGTTTAAAAAGGCATGTCTATACAATTATCATAACTCCTAGTTTATTCCCTTGAGTTATTTTAATAGAAAGACATAGACAACAAAACTTTGGCCCAAGTTTTAACACATATGCATTCTCTGACCCGCATATGAGCAACAATCATGAAATCATGGTTCAATATGATCTAGACCATAACGTCAAAGTTAACAAAGACAATATGCACATGACACTACTATTTATGGTCTTAACATAAAATATTGCGTATGAATGATGTAATAGTACCTTGGGTGAAAAGAAAAAAACTCTCAAACAAGTAAAATCATGTTGTGGAAAAGAAGGTTGAAAGGTCCTCAACAAAATCGGGTCCATCAGAGTCAAATGCAGCTACAAAAGAGAATCCAAGTAGAAAACAATTAAACATACATTAATTATAAAAGAATATAAATGAGAAGAATACAAATGGAAATGTTGTAAATACTAACCTGGAGTTCCACAAAGCTAATCATGTGTACACAATAATGCTTCAACATTATCAGATGAAAGAGTGCTTCGATACTTGTCAAGTATACGTCCACCTGTACTAAATGTTGATTCTGATGCAATTGTAGTAATTGGAATGCTCAAAAGGTCACGTGCCAATATAGAAAGTTTGGGATATTTACCCTCATTTGCTTTCCAATATTGCAAAACATCCAAATTAGTATATTGCTCATGGTCAATTTTTTCCCATTCAAATAAGTATCAAAATCTGACTCATCCTTTGATGGTCCACAAAATTTACTTTCGTAAGTCCCAAAATCCCGCAAGTCATTTGAGGGAATGTTTGTACTACCTCTAATCGAACTTTATGAAGATGAAATGCTTACTTCATTTGAGGACTTGAGATATTCTTGAAAAAAAGCTTTCAAATTATCAATAATCAACTTTGCAACTTGTACTCCCTCACCACCTAACAACCTCACATAGCACCACTCAACAAACTGCAACTTATATCTAGGATCTAAGATGACAGCAAATGATAGCACAACACTATAATAATTCCAATATTTATCAAATCTTTTCTTCATTCTTCTAGCCATGCAACATAATTGATTTTGTTTTTCAAACTCACTATGATCAACACATGCAACTTCCTTGATTTTCATGTGAATTATCCATACACCACTAAAATAGAGGTTGGCGGTAGGATAAGAGGTACCCGAAAATAACACTGTGATATCATAAAATGGCTTCAAAAAACCAATTATGGTTTTTACCTCATCGTACTCCTCGTTTGATAAGCAACAATCAAAATGTGGATCAATATCACTTAGGAGGATAAAGGCTTCTCTTTGACCTATAACAGTCTCAAGCATCAGATAAATGGAGTTCCACCTATAGGCAAGTCTTAACGAACTTGATTAGAAGTCACATTTGAAAGTTGCTCTAAACAAGATACAAATTTTATCTTTCGAGCTTCCGAGCCTCTTACATATTTCACACACAACCTAATTTTATCCAAAGAACCATCTATCACCTTTAAACCATCATGTACAATTAATTTTAAGATGTGTGCTCCACATATAACATGAAAATAAGTTTCTTCAGCTATCAATCCTAATCCTGCTAATAAATGTTTCTTCAATATATTCACCATAACATCATTGTTAGATGCATTATCTAAAGTAATTGTGAATACTTTTTTCTCAATACCCCATTCCTTTAGCAAACTTATTAACTTCTCAGCCAAATTAAGACCGTTATGAGGTGGTGGACATTGAATGAAGGATAAATTTTTTTTCTCTAATTCCCAATTCCTATTAACAAAATGTGCCGTCAAAACCATATATTGGTCTGTATTTATTGCAGACCATAGATCAGATGTCAAACAAATTTTTTCTGGAATTGATTGCAAATAGGATTTTAAGTTTTATTTTTATTTTCTAAACACCTTAAGAACATCAGACTTTGCAGTATTTCTAGTAATTGACTTAACATCAGGGTGTAAAAAATAAAGTAAGTCAATTATCCCTTCATGTTCAACAAAAGTAAAAGGATAATTGTGTTTGACAATTACCTTAGAAATCTTTTCCCTATATTTTTCTTGATCCAATGGTGGATAAGATCCATTCCCTCTTCCAACACATTTCACCGCATGTTTTATAAAATTTGAAGTTCCGCCACCATCTCTAGCCATGTAAGTTTTATTACAATTTTTGCATTTGGCCTTTGGGAGTCCTTTATCGTCAACAAACTTTTCAGAAAATTCCAAAGTTGTGGAAGTTTTTATTCTTTTTGAACTAGGGACCAAATTTTCATCAACTTCTTCCTCAATTTGAATTACTGGTTCATCGGCTTCGGTAGACATATTTCCTGCTTGCAAGTAAATTAAGGTCACGTGAGAAATGAAGACCAATATGTCAATTAAAATTGGTTGAACATGTCTATTGTATAAGGTTTAATAGACCTAGTATCTATGATAGAAAGACACTAATCTACGATTTAACAGTAGAAATAAAGTATATTCTAACACTGAAATATATTGACCAACTAATCATAAATGAATATTTGGATGGACTAGTTTATCCATGTATCATGTGTGAATTTGTTCAATTGCAACAAGAAACAATATCAAGGCAGCCAAGGGTGTTCAAAAGAACCGCAAACCGTACAAAACAGCCAAACTAAAATGTACGAAACTGAAAATAACTGAATTCATAACAATAATTTGCAACCAAACAGTGAATTCAACCACAGTTCTTGAACCAAAATTGGACTGTCAATAACAAAACCAAATTGTTTAAAACTGTTATAGTAATCTTAAATGTAATCCAACATGTTTACAATGTTTTACACTAAATAGTTTTCTATGCACACAAAAAGCATGTCATCACTTAGTAAAATGAGACAATATCCATCCTTGCAATTTTTTCTCTATATGCATAAGCATAACCACAAATCATGGACTAACGAGAAGTCAATATACTAATTTCCAGTTGAATAATTAACAAGAAAAGTCAATCTAACTAATAACTTTTATGCTTCAGCTAGCTCTTCATAAGATAACTAATTGATATTTACACTGAAAAACACATGCAAAGTTCACACAACTAAAAGTTTTATTAACACGTGATTAGTCTTATTAACACTAAACCATGAAGCTATGATGCAAAGGTACAACACAAGACAAAAGACTAGATGTAATACACCATATACAACAAATATGCTAAGCGCAACTTCTATTTCAACAATTTCTAATTTCTACGAGGACTCAATTAATCTATTGATCCAATCAGTTAGTTGAACCAAATTCACACAACTAAAATCAACACTTCTCTACAACAATTATCTTCATTTTCTCACTCAATCCTTTAACAAAAAAAAAACAATAATGAGTTTCAGCATATCATATCAAGTATGGGACAAAACAAAAATCAAATTATTTCACAAGACCAAATTAAGATGGCTTCTGAAAAACCTGCACTTTTAAACATCAGAGACATGTTTGAAGAGTTTCTGACAAAGTCTCCAACAATAGACCCTTTTTCGTTTAAGAGTTTTGCAGCAGTTCCACCAGTGACGCCTTCTAAACCGAATGAAATAAGACAAATTACTGTGAGGTTTAACTTATCATAGCTTGCTATAACGGTGTATCAAGATTTATGTAGCTAGCATTCCATTTGTTATCTTACCAACTAGTTCAATAATAGTTCTGAAACTACTGATACCAATAACAAGTTCTAATATGAATTTTTCTACAGTTAGATAATCACTTATTTGCTACCAGCATACATCTCATAAACTAAAAATAAGTCAACCTATAGCCACTGATGTTCAAATACTCTCATAATTTTTCTACAGTTAGATAATCACTTATCGAAACAAAAATTAAACACATGAATTTCGAAACGAAAAATCAAACAATGTGCACGAAATAGAGAAAAATGAAACAAATAAGAAAGAGAAATCACAGATTGAAGAAAAGTTCAGTGAGATCTAAGCGAAATTGAAAGAAAACGTGAAATGGAAGAAAAATTTGCGAAGCATTACCTTTGCGCGAAAGCGAGAATGTGTTACAGTTTTGAGAAAAACGTGAAATCAGCTATGTCGGATTTGCAGCTTTGAGATGAATTTGAGAAAACATTGAAATTAAGGTTAGATTGAGAAATAGATGAAAGTTTTGAACAATTTTTTTTTTTGGGAAAGTTTTGAACTATTCGATTGAGGGAGAAAGATACGATTAAGAGAGAGATGAAAATTGTTTTCTTTGTTTGTTTTTGTTTTTTAAAAAATTGTTCAATTAAAATTTTAATATATTTTTACGTAAATATTTATAATAAATAAATAATAAAATATAATTCATTGAATTTTCATAATGAGATGGATATCCATCCATTTAATTTGGTGGATAGATTGGATCAAATCCATTAAATTATTTTTAGTTTAATGAATAAATTAGATGGATTTTTGTTTAATGGATTTAATTGCCACCCTTAACGGGAAGTATAAATTGCCAAAGGGTAATGCAGAGACAAAATAAACAAGTGTTTAATAAAAGAGAAGAAAAAGGAAAGCAAAAAGCTGTAAGCAAGGCCAAAGAGAAGTTTATGTAACAGAAAAATTGGTACTCAAAATTGCATAGGTCAAAAATGTTTTAAAACAAGTGCCGATCCAAAACTATGTGTATCATAAAACCCAAAACACAACTGTCACCATTAATTTTGTTTGCTAATCCTGTTTTTAATAATTAAACTTAATTATAAGAACACAATTCATTCAAAACATTAGATTCAACATCGCCCAATCCCAAGTTTCAAAAAGTGCAAATCAAAATAAAATCACCGTTAGTATATTTAATAAACGATGAGTACGAATAATATTACATAAAAAAATGTTTCTTTTTTTAAAATTTGCTGCTGGTTCTATAATGCACAGCCTCTACTTTATAGAACAATAATAATAACAAATTATTCAAATTTCTAAATTGCACACCCCGGCTATTTGACAATACTGCGAATATAAAGTTGATATTTGTTGAAAATAAGTGGCAGAAATTGAACCATATTCTTATTATACCATATACCATTTTTCTAGTTTTTTTAAAGGAAACAAGAGAACGAAATGTGCTAAACATAAAATGCTATCTTTACATTAAAAATTACACCTAATTGTATTTCACGGTTCACCGTATTATTGAATATTATAATATTATAATATTAAAATGATATTTTAAAAAAATATTTTTTTATTTTTATTTATTTTTAAAAAATTGTTAAATAATCAACTTTATTATTTTATTAACAAATTTTTTAAATTTTATTAACTAATTTTGTTTTACTATTAAAAATTACTTTTAAAAATTTGAGTAGTCTATTAATAAACTTCTTTCTTTAACTAATTTTTTACATTTTATTAACCAACTTTATTTTATTACTAAAAATTATTTTTAAAATTTGAGTATGTATTAACCAATTTCATCACTTAATTAACTAACTTTTTATATTTTATTAACCAACTTTATTTCATCATTAAAAATCACTTTTCACAAATGGTTCATAGATGTTATTCACGCTACTGTTCATAAATATTTTTTATGGTGTAGGAATAACATTTATGTTTCAAAAATAGTGTACACACGAATCTAATATACACGGTGTGAATCACAACTTAAAAAATAATATACATGTATAACTCTTCGTCATCACGCCTGCATCACAAGTAAGGGTGGAAATAGACCAGATCGATAATAGGGATTTACGGTCAAACTTATAAAGGCTCAGGTTATAATCTAGTCTACATAGACTCAGACTAGGCTTATACTTTTTTATAAGTCTGTCTTGTTAAAAAAAACTAGACCTCATGCCATAGAAAAAACCTTTTAGGCATAATAGACCGGCGTACATAAATAAAAGTTAAATATGTTTTTGATTCCAATAAATATCTCAAATTTCATTTTTAGTCCTTATTAAAATAATGACATGTTTTAGTCCTTACAAAATTATTATGCACGTAGTTTTAGTTCCCGTTGTTAAATCAATGTGTATTTTTAAATGATTATTTTGTAGATATATTTAAAATGTTATAAAAAGTTCTTTAGAAAAAAAGAAATTCAAAATTTGAGTTCTAAGTCGAGATTTTCATTATTTTTATCAATATCTTTTGAAATTAAAAAAATTATATTTAATTCTTTTCATTTTAAAAAATTCTAAAATTTGATAAAAAAACATTTTTTTTAGTATTTTAAATACGTATGAAAAATATTATTTAAAATTTTAAAAGTTTAAGGATAATTAAACAGTTTCTACAATTTTAGAAAATAACAGAGACTAAAACTGGATAAACAAAATTTTTTTAAGAACCAAAATTTATCATTTTTTTAATAGGGATTCAAAATAAAATTTAAGATATTTATAAGAATAAAAAATATATTTAACCCTATAAATAAATATGAATAATTTTTTTATTATCGTTATGTTATGTACTTTGAATCAAAATACATAAATATTATTTCGTTATCTTGGAGAACTTATGAAAATAAGATAAAAACACCTTATAAACAACATTATAAGTTGTTTTCACAAATCATCTTAAACAAATAGTCTCACAAGTTTTGTTAATTGATAAATTAAAATAAATCAATGCAAATAAACTTTTAGTCTCATTAATTTTTTAGTTTGTTAATCTATTTAAATTACTTATTTACATGTCTAAAATAATAGACTTTTATATAGGCTAACAGACTAATTAGATTTTAGAAAAATTCAGACTCAAGTCTAGAAACAAGTCTATGACAGACTACAAACCAGACTTAAATTTTCGTTTTTTTAACAGATCAAATTTAAATTTGATAAAGATGGTTCGACCCAACTTATTTCCGTCCCTAATTACAAACTGCACAAAACACAACAACGCCCAATTTTTTCTCTTTAATTCTTCATTTTAATTTAATCTATAAATTACGGCAAATAAAATGCGAGGTTAAATAATCTTATTTCTGACATTTTTTTGCAACTTTATGAAATTCTATTTCTATATTATACGACGTCGTTTCAGATCATTTTTTTTAAGCATAATGTATTGGAGATTGAAGCATAATGCATCTTGTTGGCATTTCTAATGCCTATACTTAATGAATATTATTTTGGCCTTTTAAAAAAAAAAATCATTTTTTTAAATTCAGAATGATTTCTTCTCTCTTTCCTCATCAAGCACTTTTCTCAGTCGGTCAGAACAGAAAAAACAAAAATTAGTTTAGTTTCATTCCACGACGTGAGAATCCGTTACACTTCACCGGATGGCTAATTCCGATGAGCCGGAAAGTACGGAAACCACCGCAACTGCCACCGTAACTACCGTTCAAACCGATTCAGATCTCAAGCATTCTTCTCTACGGCGAAGAACAAGCGCCACATCATCCGGAGGCCTTTTCGACGCCGAAAGTGCTGCTCAAGAAGCGATCAGAGATTCCGGCTCCGACGATTCGTTGAACGGAAATAACAGCGAAGAGGTCAAGGATCGAAAAACAGATCATGCAGGAATCGGTAATGACGTTCAGAATGACGTCATTGATCGGGAAAAAGTTACCGATATCAAATTTACTTACCGTCCTTCAGTTCCCGCTCACCGGAGAATCAAAGAGAGTCCTCTTAGCTCCGGCAACATTTTTAGACAGGTTGATTTCTCGCTTTGTTGGCTGATTTCAGTTTTGCATGGCTAGTTTCTTGTCTCGAACTCCGATGAATTAACGATATGAAAATTGTAACAGTAGCCTATCGCATTTTGTTACCTATATTAGCAGCTTTCAATATTCTGTAATAAAAGTAATGAAAATAGTAGAAATATATTGTTATATTGCTTCTTTTTCTTTTAGAAATATCATTGAGTTGGTGAGGTTTTGGAGTTTAGAAAATTATAATTTATTTTTATTAAAATATAAAATAACTAATCTAAAAGTTATATTTTATTTTATATAAATTTTTTTGTTCACTCTTGGTTGCATGTTACTTGTTTCTTTTTGTATACAGTATGCTGTTTGATTACTTGATAATTTAAGTGTTTAATTAAAAGAAATGGTACTTTTTAGAATGTCTTAACTATTTTTTGTCTTATAGGGGCTTGCTTAGTTGTTTTGGCATCTTCTATAATTGTTTTGTTTTATTACTAATTACTACTAATCAATGAATTACAGAGTCATGCAGGACTGTTCAATCTGTGTATTGTGGTGCTGGTTGCTGTAAACAGCAGGCTCATCATTGAGAATTTGATGAAGGTTTTCTTCTACATTTTCTTCTTGATAATGTCTATCTATCCTGCAAAATTTGAATTTCCAGCTTGTTAAAAAATGCCTTCATCTGTGTTAGTGGTTTTAATTCTCTATTTTAATTTTATTTTTATATGTAATTATATGTTTTGCAGTACGGATGGTTGATTAAATCCGGCTTTTGGTTTAGCTCAAAATCGTTCAGAGATTGGCCCCTCTTCATGTGTTGGTAATGAGTTTGATGATCCCCTTTAAGAATAGATTTATACTGTCATTTCACATTCTGTAACAATATTTATGTTTCTTTCAGTCTTAGTCTTGCAATATTTCCACTAGCTGCCTTTGTAGTCGAAAAGTTAGCACAACAAAAGAGTATTTCTGAACCAGTAAGTGATTTTCCCTTGTAAGCTTTTATTATATTTCATTTCATGGGGAAAACAAGTGCTCTATAACTGCTTATGTTTTTTGATTGTTGTGCAATTAACAACAGTTTCAGAGCATAATCATTTGTTGTGTAATATTTTCAGTCACACAGTTTCAATATCTAACATGCATGGGAATATTGACTCGAATAATGCAGGTTGTTGTTCTACTTCATGTTGTAATTACCACAGTTGCAATTATCTATCCAGTTTTAGTAATCCTCTGGTCAGTATACACTTTAAAGTTTGACTCCTGTGCTTCTATCTAGCATATGTCAGTTTCAATTTTGGAAGATTTAAATATATAAGCTTCAGTTGATAAACATGTTATAGTCATGAAGTTATGCTACTATATAGGAAGGAATGTTTAAACATTATTTTTGCTTCATACTAGAAAAGTTTCAAAGCAGCTTGGAGATCCTCATTGTAGTGTTTGGGATGATACAATGTAGAAGTTAAATTATTTTTTGAATTATTATAATTAAAAATGCAGAAGATAAAGTCAAGGGAACGAACAATTGGAAACAACTTTTGTTGCTTCTTCGTACTTGTTCATGTCATGTGATAAAGGCAATTGACTCACATTCGTGTATCCTTTTTAAGCTCTTAACTGACTATTCAATCAAAGTAAATCTCTGTTTCTTCAGCATAACAGTTGACCGCATCTGTCGCGTCTTTTTAATTAGTGATTTTTCTTATGAGGGATACTGAAAAAATGTATGCTTCATGGAGATATAATATCTATACTCAAAGGTTCTTGATCATTTCATGTGTATTGGTATAGCAAAGATATCTTATGGATCCGTTGCTTTGCTGTGCAGGTGTGACTCTGCATTTTTATCAGGGGCCACGTTGATGCTATTAACTTGCATTGTATGGTTAAAGTTGGTGTCATATGCACATACAACCTATGATATGAGAGCTCTTACTGTTTCAAATGAAAAAGTAGCAAAGGTAGTGGTTAGTATTTCAATAAATATATTTAAAGAGGTTATGCTAAACATTCTATGTGATGTTTAGTTTTTAAACAGGAAAAATACTTTTTTATTTCCTATTTGTTATAATTAAATTCATTCTGCTTCTCCCCACCAATCCTCTGATATTGGCTTTTTGCTGCATGGTATGGTGACATTATGCTATAATCTGGTCAAACGAGTGTCTGATAAAAGTTATGTTTTTTCCTCTTATTCAATCATGTTACTTGTGGTATAGGGAGAAACAGTGCCCAATACTTTGAATATGGAGTACCCACACAATGTGAGCTTCAAGAGTTTGGCATACTTCATGGTTGCTCCTACTTTGTGCTATCAGGTAACAAAATGTTTAACTTAAGTATTGATATATATAAATTATGCGTGTAAAATTATTTGGTCATTGTTGCCTCGTTTAGATTCACCTCTTTTACTGACAATTGCATGCATTTATTGTTTCTGATTGAAGCACATATAAGATGCCGTTTTGTGGACTTATTTATGGCTCTATTTTTGGTTTGGGATGTGCTTGAGGTTTTTTAGTTAGAGAGAGGTCCTCTCGGAATCTGCTGCGCACCCTTTCTCTCAAGTTTTCTCTTTATCAGTGGTATTTTTCAATGTACTGCTCTACAACTTGTCTCTGATCCTCAAATCAATTCGTCCCACCATCTCTTCTCTCCTACTTCTAGCCAACTGCTAAGCTTTTATAGCCCCTGCAGATTCTTTTATCTATTTTAACATTCACATCAGAATTAATATAATTTTATTATTCTGAATATTCCTCTTCAGCCTTCTATACATGGATGACAAAAACCCTTTATAACTTCAACAAGTGATTGGTGATAAATTTGTTTTGGGAGAAAACTATGATATTGATTTGTATTTTGCACTTCTGTTTCTTACATGATGAGTTAATGTTATAGCCAAGCTATCCTCGCACACCTTCTATTCGAAAGGGTTGGGTCTTTCGACAACTTCTCAAGCTGGTAATATTTACAGGAGTTATGGGATTTATAATAGAACAAGTAAGAATTAGCTGTTAATAAATGTTATTGTCATTTTTATCCCTTTTCCCTTCAATTTTCCATTCAACTAAATGTAGATATTCTGAGTGATGACATCGTTCTGTTTTGTTTAAATAATTTTGCAGTATATGAATCCTATTGTCCAAAATTCACAACATCCTTTGAAGGGAAACCTTCTATATGCCATTGAGAGAGTTTTGAAGCTTTCTGTTCCAAACGTCTATGTGTGGCTCTGCATGTTCTACTGCTTTTTCCATCTTTGGTATGTATTTCCTCTGTCTTGGTTCAATACTTATGTATAAAATTTTCTTTTAAAAACATATTAGAATTAAATTGCCTTCACTGACCATAAATTGTGTATCATAGTCCTAATTGTGTGCATTGACTTGAAAATTGTTCCCTGTCAGCACTATCAATAGGTATCAAAACTAGCTGCTACCCTGACAATGTTCAAAGGATTTATGTGTCTGTTATTGCTTGATTTTTCAACACTCATGAAATGGAAAATTTTATTTTATTGATGAGCTGGAGTATTTTTGCCCGAGCCATGAGGATATCTTGTTGTTCTATGTTTCACAATTCTTCTTTCGTCCCATATATAAAATTATTCTGCAACAAAATAGTTTAGACTTGTACTTGCATGCATAAGTGCTACCTTATGTTCTGATCTGCGTGTCTTATTTAAGTATTTTGTATTAAAAGTAAAACTTTGCTTTGATAGTTTTTTCACATTAAAAGTTACGACATTTAGCTTTAATAAAAAAACAGGTACGGCATTTAATCCTTAGAGCCACTATTGGAATATAGGTTAAATATACTTGCAGAGCTTCTCCGGTTTGGTGATCGTGAGTTCTACAAAGATTGGTGGAATGCCCAAACAGTTGAAGAGGTAGGCTTTTTTCCCTATTTTGTTATTGGGTCTTTTTAGTTAGAATACTTCCATGAAGAAAATCAATGACTCGTTTTTGTTGAATGCATTTATGCTGCTGCTGTCATCAGTATTGGAGGATGTGGAATATGGTATGTTTCCTTTTCAACCTTGGATGAAGTTATTGCAAACACATATTTGATATCAGCCTCAGATTTGAGTGAATTTGATAGACATTATTACTTTCTGAATTAATTTTTTCTAAATAATTTGTGAGGTTACAATAGTATTTATTCACGAGTTGCAGATTGCCTTGCAAGCCACTAGCATGCCTTAACAGAATTGTAACTCCTCATCTGACATTTAACAGCAACCATAACAGATAATCATCTGTCATTATTTAACAGGACTCTACAACATAATTGTAATTGTCAAAATACTGAATTGTTATGGAATGCTTGAGTGAAATTCCACTCAGCTGATTTGCTTATATACACATCAAAACTAAATACAATGTGAGAGTTACAAGGACAATAATGTAGTTTATAGTTTCTAGTTCCTAGTTCCTAAGTACATGAATGTGATTTACTAGGCACTTAAATAGTTATTAATTTCAATTTATTTTATAATTCCAACACTCCCCCTCAAGATGGAGCATATAAATCAAATGCTCCAAGCTTGGAACAAATATTTTGAATTCGTGGGCCCCTTAAAGATTTTGTGAAGATGTCTACTAGTTGATCATTGGAACTAACAGATTCAGTGACAACTTCTTTAGAAAAGATTTTCTCCCGGACGAAATGACAATCAATCTCAATATGTTTAGTTCTCTCATTGAACATTGGATTAGAAGCTATTTGTAGCGCTGCCTGGTTATCACAACAAAGTTTCATTTGTTGAGTATCTCCAAATTTCAATTCATGAAGAAGTTGTTAAATCTAAATGAGCTCACATGTGGCTACAGCCATAACTCTATATTCTGCCTCTGCACTTGACCTTGCAACCACATTTTGCTTCTTGCTCTTCCATGATATAAGATTTTCCCCAATAGACACACAATACCTTGAAGTAGAACGCCTGCCAATTAGTGAACTTGCCCAATCTGCATCGCAAAATCCAACTATTTGAGTTCTTCTGTTGTCTTAATAAAGCAATCCTTGTCCCGGGTTTCTTTTAATGTACCTCAGAATTCGAATTACTGCATCCCAGTAATCCTTATGAGGAGATTGAATGAATTGACTTACCACTCCAACCGCAAAAGAAATATCTGGCTTTGTAATAGAGTTTTCCAACCAATCTTCGGTATCTTTCAGGATCAGAATAAGGCTCCCCCTGGTTGGGCAACAATTTCTGATTTGGATCCATGGGACTATCAACGTGTCTACAATCCAACATACTAGTTTCTTTGAGTATATCTAATGCATAATTCCTCTGTGAAATCATAATCCTATTCTTTGACTGAGCCACTTCAATTCCAAGAAAATATTTCAACCTTCCTAGATGTTTGGTTTGAAAATGTTTGAATAAATGCTCCTTCAGTCGAGAAATTTTTTCTTGATCATTTTCAGTGATGCCTATATCATCTACGTAAACCACCAAATAAACACATTTATTTGGAGAGGTATGGCAATAGAAGACTGAATGATCTGCTTCACTACGTTTCATACCAAAAGCCTGAACAACTGAGCTGAATTTCCCAAACCAAGCTCGTGGGGACTGTTTAAGTCCATAGAGAGAGCGTCGTAGTTTGCAAACCAAGCCAAACTCCCCCTAAGCAACAAACCCAGGTGGTTGTTCCATATAAATCTCCTCTTCTAAATCTCCATGTAGAAATGTATTCTTAATATCCAACTGATGCAGCGGCCAATGACTTATGGCAGCTATGGCTAGAAATAAACGAACATATGTGATTTTTTCCACAGGAGAGAAAGTATCAGCATAATCAAGGCCATAAATCTGGGTATAACCTTTGGCCACTAAACGAGCTTTTAGACGATCAATCTCTCCATTAGGCCCAAATTTAACGGCATAGACCCATCGACATCCAACAGGTTTCTTGCCCGGAGGAAGAGGGACTAGATCCCAGTATTATTATGCTCCAAAGCTTGCATTTCATCAATCATGGCCTGTCGCCGTCCTGGATGATCAAGTGCCTCGCAAACGTTTTTAGGAATGGAAATAGAAGATAAAGATGCTATAAAAGAACAATAAGGAGGAGAGAGACAATGGTAACTTAAGTTATAAATAGAATGGGGGTTTCGAGTTGATCGAGTACCTTTCCTTTGAGCAATGGGCAAATCAAGATTTTCGTCAGCCAGGTCCGTAGTAGGGCAAACTGTTGGAGTAGGACATGTTTCACTTGGTCTCTCAATGCCTTCCAATTCACCATTAGGAACACGTGGGCGTCGCTGGTATGTAATGAGTGGTCTTTGAGATGGCGTGGGGGAAGGATTATTTTGAGTATAATCTATAGTAGAAGCTGATTCCTGCAAAGGAGAAAAAGGTGGACCAAAGTAGGGAATGGGAAAAACTTCTTGAATGGTATTTGATTCAACTGAGGAGGGTAGAAAATATGGTTTTTCTTCGAAGAATGTTACATCTCCAGAAACATAATAACGATTGTGAATTGGAGAGTAACAGCGATAGCCTTTCTGCAATCTAGAGTATTCAAGAAAAACACACTTCATGGCTCGGGGAGACAACTTGTCTAAACCTGGAGAAAGATCATGAACAAAGCATGTACTTCCAAAAACACGTGGAGCGACATGAAACAAAGGCTCTTTAGGAAATAAGATGGAGTGAGGTACTTTGTTATTAAGAGAGGAAGAAGGCATCCAATTAATCCAAAAACAAGCAGTTAAAATTGCCTCACCCCAATGACGGACTGGTACCTTTCCATGAAGTAACAATGTTTGAGCAGTCTCAACGAGGTGTCTATTTTTCCTTTCAGCTATGCCATTCTGTTGAGGGGTATGAGGGCATGACGATTGATGGAGAATGCCCTGTGATGTCAAAAAAGAAGTAATAGCAGAAGAGAAATATTCTTTTGCATTATCACTCCTAAGAATACAAATTGTCTTACCAAATTGAGTCTTAATTTCATTAACAAAAGAAGTGAAGATGGGCAAAATTTCAGATTGTTCTTTCATTAAGAAAACCCAAGTACATCGAGAAAATTCATCAATAAAGATAGCAAAATATCTATAACCCATAGAAGACACACAACTAGGGCCCCATATATCTGAATGAATAATTGAAAACGGTGAATCAACATGACTTTCAACTTGTCTAACAAAAGATGATTGAACATGTTTTCCTAATTGACATGACTCACATGACAAAGTTTTTATTTTTTCAAGACTTGGAAACATTATTTTTAGTTTGGACAAGTGAGGATGTCCTAATCGTTCATGAATAAGTTTTGGTGAGGCAGTGACACTGCAAATCCAAGAAGAATCAGACTTGAGATAGTAAAGACCATGAGATTCATGTCCTACGCCAATCGTCTGACCCGTACCACGTACCTGTATAACAAAAGAGTCAGCATCAAAGGTTACTGAACAGTTGTGAGAACGAGTAAGTTGGCTGAGAGAAATCAAATTGAAAGGACTACCTGGTATAAATAAGACATAGTTTAAGGATAGGGAAGTAGTGGGTGACACATGACCAATACCCTTTGCTGCAACTTTGGAGCCATCGGCTAGAGTAATAAAATGAGGAATTTTGGGAGGAGAGATAGTAGAAAATAAAGAGACATTATCAGCAATGTGATCGGAGGCACCTGAATCAATTAGCCATGGACTTGGATCATTATCAGATTGAGAAATACAAGCAGTAGAGTTATGAGCTACTATGGCATATGAACTTGCAGATTCCTTGGCAGCTTTTAGTTGAAGGTATTCTTGATAGTCAACTTCTGAAAACTTCATCTCTAATGTTTCAGCCTTAGAAACGTTCGCAGATTTTCCAGGAAATCCGTACGTAGAGTAGCAAGTGTCTTGAGTGTGGCCCATTCTCTTGTAATAAGAACACTGAGGTCGACCTCCTCTTCCGCCTCGTCCTCCTCGGCTTCCACGACTTCCTCGCCCCCCTCGATTGGAAACCAAGGCAGAAGTTTCCATCATATCAACCAAATTCACTTCTGTTTTTGACGAGGGAACTCGAAGGAGTCGAGTTATTAAACTTTCTAATGAAGGAATTTCTTGACCAGTTAAGACTTGATCATGAACATGATCAAAACCTGGATGCATTCCTCATAGAACCTGCACCATATACAAATTATCAAGTTTTTCTTCATATCTTCAATTGTGTCAACTTCCAACGATAATTTTAACCCTTCGACTGTAGATTGAGCTTTTGAAACATAGGCAACCATGTCATGATTAGCTTATCTTAAAGTGGCCAATTTATGTGCAACATCATACAATTGTTAAATGTCATTAGCAAATACACTTTGAGTTTTTTTCCAAAAAAGAGTGACAAGTTTTAAAGGCTCTAAAGTTTGTCAAGATGGCTGGCTCCACAGATTGCCATAGAAGAGAACAAAGTTGATAATCAAGTTTTTTCCACTGGTCACGTTTTTCTGCTGAAATCAGTTCTGATGATTGTTTCAGATGTTTCTCTTATCCTTGACCAAGAAACCAAAGTTCTACTGAGGCAGACCAAGCTAAATAATTTCTTTCATTCAGCTTTTCTGAAGTGCTTGTTGGTGTTTCAGAAAAGGAGAAAGTAGGTTCATCAATTTTTGAAGAGTTGGGGCCATCTCAATACTTGGGACTGTTAGAGATGTGAGATATAACTAAAAAACAGAGGACCCCAGAACAGTAGATTCTGGAACCAGAACCAGAAACAGGACAGCAAATGGAAAGACCAAGTGTGAAAGACCCACTTTTTAAATGACTCTAAAGTGATTCTTTTTCTTGTGGAGTACTGGAGGACCAGAGACAGTAGTGACCCTTAAGAGGCTCTAGATACCATGTCAAAATACTAAATTGTAATGGAATGCTTGAGTGAAATTCCACTCAGCTGATTTGCTTATATTTACATCAAATACTGAATTGCAATGGAATGCCTGAGTGAAATTCCACTGAAATTCCACTCAGCTGATTTGCTTATATTTACATCAAAACTAAATACAATGTGAGAGTTATAAGGACAATAATGTAGTTTATAGTTTCTAGTTCCTAGTTCCTAGGTACATAAATGTGATTTACTAGGCACTTAAATAGTTATTAATTTCAATTTATTTTATAATTCCAACAGTAATATTCTAAAAACTAACATGATTAGAATATTTTAGAAACTCTACACAAGGCCTAGTCATACACACACAATACTCTATACTGAATACTCTACCAATGGATGATATATAAGGCTAATTTAATATGTTATCTAAGCAAAAAAAGTTTTTTTTTTTTCATCTATGACTCTGGCTTACTTTTCCAACATTCTATGAGTATATGGATATGGAACCAGACTTCAGAATATATTTAAATAATTGTGAAGTTCTAATTCATTACTGTTCAACTGAGTGGGTTCTTTCATATTGCAGCCTGTGCATAAATGGATGGTTCGCCACGTATATTTTCCCTGTATAAGGTTTGGTATACCAAAGGTAATCAAGCATCAACCTATCTTGCTGAGTGTACTCTGAGCTATACTTTCCAAGCATATTTTAGACATTAAAATCCTGTCTTCAGAGTGTAAATCTGTAAATTCTGTCTATCTTTATTTAAGATCGCACTAGCACTAACATAGGATGTTGAGTATTTTTAGGAATACTAACAATCCCTAGCAGCCCAACTCAACTTTACAAAACTGATTTGTATGTAAAGTGAGGATTGTCCCTACTTATAAACATATGTTCAGATCTGTGAAAAACAAAGAGAAATTATGTATGAATGTGCTTGAGATTCATTGCTCTCAGCATAAGCTTAATTTATAATCATTTTGTTACAACTTACAAGGATAATAAATAATTATGTGCAACTTACAAAAAATGAATTAAAATAATACATAGAACTTAGTATGCAATGAATTGACTACTTGGAAAATGCAGAATTAATGGAAAAGTGCAGAATTAATTATTTTAATTTCCAACACTCCCCCTTAAGCTGGTGAATAGGTATTCTCCATTCCCAACTTGGACACAATTTTTCAAAATTTGGGCAGCTCAAATCTTTGGTAAAGACATCCGCAAGTTGAACTTGTGAGGGAACATAAGGAGTGCAAATCAAACCGCAATCAAGCTTCTCTTTGTAAAATGTCTATCCACTTCAATGTGTTTTGCTCGGTCATGTTGAACTGGATTGTGAGATATACTAATTGCTGACTTATTATCACAAAAGAGCTTCATAGATCCATCCCATTTAATCTTCAAATCCTCTAAAATAATCTTCAACCAAAGTAACTCACAAATACCTTGTGCCATAGCCCGAAACTCAGCTTCAGCACTGGATCGGGCCACAACATTCTGCTTTTTACTTCTCTAAGTTACAAGGTTTCCTCCGAGAAATGTACAATACCTTGTAGTTGACCTCCGGTCAGTAGCCGAACCTGCATAATCAGCATCTGTATATGCCTCAAGAGTAGCACTTTCATTCCTTTTGAACAAAATCCCTTTTCCTGGAGTTCCTTTGAGATATTGTAAAATTCTATGAGCTGCAAGTAAATGAACTTCCTTTGGATTGTGCATAAATTGACTAACCACACTTACAACAAATGCAATATCTGGTCTAGTGTGGGAAAGGTAAATTAATCTCCCAACCAATCTTTGATACATTTCCTTATCCATTACCGCACCGTCTCCCACATTACCCATCTTATGGCTTGGATCAATAGGACTGCCCACAGGTTTACAAGCAAGCTTACCTGTTTTCTTGAGCAGATCTATGATATACTTTTGTTGAGACATAAAAATATCCTTTTTTGAGTGAGCCACCTCTATTCCTAAAAAATACTTCAGCCTTCCAAGGGTTTTAATTTCATATTCTTTTGCTAAATGTTGAGTCAAAACTTGTTGTTCCTTCCAATCATTTCCTGTCACAATAATGTCATCAACATATACCAACGATATTGTTACTCCTTCTGAAATAGAGTGTTTAATAAACAGTGATCCCCATTACTTTACTTGTAACCTAATGATGTCATAGCCTTAGTAAACCTTCCAAACCATGCTTGAGGTGACTGTTTCAATCCATATAATGCCTTTTGCAAATTACAAACAGAATTGGTAGCAACGTTTTTGTTATATCCTGGTGGAACATCCATATAAATTTCTTTCTCAAAATCTCCATGTAAGAATGCATTTTTTACATCGAATTGTTGTAATTCCCACCCGTAATTGGCAGCAAGGGATAATATAACTCGAACCGTATTCATCTTTGCCACCGGGGCAAAAGTTTCTGAATAATCAATCCCATAGGTTTGTGCGAAACCTTTAGCAGTCAGCCTTGCTTTGTACCTCTCAATTGTTCCCTAACGCCCTTTCTAATGGCAATTTGGGAGGTCATGGTTATCATCTATTTCATTATTTGGGACTCGAATATCATGTAAAACAGAAAAATCAGAATTTGAATTTGTTACCTGTGTCAAAGGATTTGGTTCGGTCTCTTGGACATCTGTTGCTTCAGGAATGGCTTTTAATCTTCTTGTATACACCAAATTCTTTCCAAACTTGTCAATTTTTGCTCTGTTTTCAGCCACTGCTTCATCTCCGGATTCATTTCCAAATCCATCTTCAACCAATGCCTCATTTTTAGATTCATTTCCAGCCATTCTTTCTCTCGAATTGAACTCATGAGAATTTCTTTCAAGATTAGGAAGAATAAGAGTTTCAAGAGAATTACCCTTATCTTCACTAAAAGACTCCTCTTGAAGATAAGGTTGAGTGAAGTAGGTTTCTCTTTCATGAAAGATAACATCTCTAGACACAAATACTTTTTTTGATGGAGGGTGGTAACACTTAAATTCTTTTTGAGTAGTAGAGTACCCAACAAAGACATATTTGAGAGCCCTAGGATCAAGCTTTCCCCTACCTTGACTATGGATATGAACAAACGAAACACACCCAAAGACCCGTGGGACAAGATTATTAGTGGTCGAAATGTTTGGATAAAAGGATGAAAGAATATCCATGGGACTCCTTAATTCCAACACTCTAGAAGGTAGCCGATTAATGAGGTATGTTGCTGTAAGAACAACTTCTCCCCAAAGATACTTTGGAACATTATTTTGGAACAACAATGCCCGAGTTTGGTCAAGAAAATGACCATTTTTTCTTTCAGCAATTCCATTTTGTTGTGGGGTTTTTACACAAGAGGACTCATGAATTACACCTTCTTTTTCACAAAAAGGAGTAATGACATGATTGAAGAACTCTTTCCCATTATCAGATCTGATTCTTTTGATATTTGCACCAAATTGATTCTTAATCATTGAAAAAAAAAATGGGAGAGCTGTACTTACTTCAGATTTATTCTTAAGAAGGAACAACCAAGTAACTCGGGTACAATCATCTATGAAAGTAACAAACCATTGTCTACCTGACATCAGTATGTTTAGTGGGCGGCCCCCAAACATCAGTATGAACAAGATAAAAAGGAATTGTGCATCTTTTATTATTTAAAGGAAAATGTACACGCTTATGTTTTGCAATTTCACATACTTCACAATGAAGAGTCTCATTTTTCACTTTCAAAACAAAGATGAAAACATAAAATTTGATAACTCCAAAAGAGGGGTGTCCTAATCGACAATGAAAAAAAATATATTTTTTCTTTGCTTGTGAGATGTGACTCTGACATTAATGAGCAAGACAAGTGACTCTTTGTGGTAACAAGCTGATTTGGTTCTCCAAGATAGTAAAGACCATTCCCTTCCTAGCATGTCCAATCATCCGAATCGTTGTCCTGAAATACACAATGGTGGTTGTGAAAAATTACAATACAAGATAAATCTTTAGTAAGTTTTTGTATAGAGATTAGGTTCGTGGACAATTTTGGAACATGAAGGACATTTTTTAAGACAAAGGAGTTATTTGGATGTCTCTAATACCAACCACTGTTACTAGAGTACCACCAACAGTGGAAATTTTCTTATTACTAGGACTAGGGTGATATGTGGAGAAGTGCTTGGATGAAGGTGTCATATGGTTTGTGGCTCCTGAATCTACGATCCAAAGGGAAGTAGAGAGTATATTTGAAGCATTAAACTCGAATGAAATTGGAAACATACCTTAATACGCCAAAGTACACATACCTTTTGGTTTCTCCAAGCTATTAAGGAAAGCCTTCATTCTTTCAATCTCTCCTTGGTTAAGGCTGTTTAATCCAGAATTATTTGAAGATTCTGCCTTATTTTCTTCGACTTTTTCAGCAACATAAGCCCTACTATTTTTGCGAGATACATCTCCGGAAATGCTTCCTCTTTGCCCTTCTTCACGACTAGGAGGTTTTCCATGCAACTTCCAACACTTCTCACGAGTATGTCGAGGTTTATTACAGTAAGTACACCACAATTCGCCCTTCTTTTCCAACTTTACTTGTCCACCACCTTTAAGATTCTCAACTATCATGGTTGACCTTTCAATGGATGGAGTATCTAGCATTAAGTTTCTTCTACTCTGCTCACTTCTTACGATGGCAACAACCTTATTTAAGGAAGGAACTTGAGGCTTTCCTAGAATCTGAATTCTTACCTGATCAATTCAAAATTTAATCCCACAAGGAAGACATAGACCTTATCTTATTCGATAAACTCCTTAAGGACTGCTGAGTCTGCTGCACCATGAGTTTTTATCACTCTATAGTGATCCAATTCCATCCAAAGAGACTTCAATTGGTTGGCATATTCTTTCACAGATTTATTTCCTTGCTTAGCGGCAACTGTTTTGACCATCACATCATAAACTTGGGCAACATCTTTGGCCTTCGAATAAGTTTGCTCTATTGCATCCCGAATTTCTTTTGTAGTACTAAGAAACATGCAAGTATCACTAATCTCCTGAATCATAGTTCCATAGCCATGCCATAATCATCGAGTCTTCCTCGTCCCATGAAGTAAAAGTCGGATCCCCCTCTACTGGACCAATACCAGTTAAGTGACTGAGTTTACCTTTTCCTTTTAATACAGTATGAATAAGTTAGGCCCACTTCAAATAATTTTTCCCATTAAGCCGATAAGCAGGTTGGATGCTCTGTAATTCTCTAGACAGATTATTCTGGACTTGAGAACTACCTCCTTGAGCAAATGGATTTACAATCTCCTCCTCCATAAGTGGGAAGTTAAAAGTGTATTTCGATGCAAAAAATTGTACAAACAGCAGTTGGACAGACAACTACCGGAAGAAGTACGAAATGTGCAAGACTACCGGAAAGAACAAATAGTGTTTAATTGAAAGAACTTGACAACAAGTGTTGCCCAGTCAAGATTTAAGGGTTTTGACAGCATAAAAATGCCCAGTCAGATTTACTAAGTAATGATTAGCAGAAGTATAGTCTCCTAGATTAGGAGCTCTGATGTCATGTGAAAAACAAAGAGAAATTATGTATGAATGTGCTTGAGATTCATTGCTCTCAGCATAAGCTTAATTTATAATCATTTTGTTACAACTTACAAGGATAATAAATAGTTATGTGCAACTTACAAGAAAGGAATTATAATAATACATAGAATTTAGTATGCAATGAATTGGCTATTTGGAAAATGCAGAATTAATGGAAAAATGCAGAATTAATTATTTTAATTTCCAACAAGATCATATCTCATTCAATATGGGACTTATAATACACACTGGGTGACCCGACCGTGGAAACTTAATAGCAGGTGGCCAAAAAGATCTTGGATAGGCTCTGATATCATTTTATAATTCGGGTTGAAACTCGGGCCTCGAATGGGCCCGGAGCATAGACGATGTGGGAAGTCCAACAAAACAATAAACCCAGGATAAACTCTAATATCATCTTAGAACTTAGGCTGAGCCTACTCAACCTTACAAAACCAGCTTGTAAGATGAGGGTTGCCCAAACTTTATAAACACTACATTGGTCATATCTCTAAATAATGTGGGACTAAAACTACCTTTTCACACTTGAAGGTGCTGCAATGAAGCAACCTAAATGGCGCAATTAGGTGACTAGGAGCGGATTGTATTGAAGGTGGAATTTCTAACAGTTCTCACAGGACTTGTATTTATAGTGGTGTTACAATAAATACACATAATGCCTAGTGAATAGCACTAACCGAGGAAGTTGTATCTTCTAGAAATACTAACAATCAATCTAGAATATCTGCATGTTTACTTAATTCAAACACATAGTAGTTTCTTTCTTTAGTAACTTGGTAATCATGATAACTAAATTATAATCTAAACATAAATAGTAAAAATAAACAGATTATCTTTTTGCGCATTACTTGTATTTGACCTTTTTAGAGTAGGAATGAACTTGTTTGGAAAATATTCTTAACATCAAGCAAGTTAATGTTTTCCATTGCTGAAGTCAATAAATAAAATGTGCAATTTTCTGCAAACTTATGTTAACGTAACATGTGATTTTTCTAAAATCCGACCCCTATTACATCTTTTTTTTTTTCATGTTCATTTACTTTTGTTTCAGCTGAATTGTCCATCCCATATTGATTACTTGGTCATCGGTGGAAAGTTTTCAACTAATACACAACATCAAAATTAGTTTTTTTTCTGTTTTTACTTTAGATGGTTTTGGCTTCTGTACCAGCATGCATTTACATGTAGATTGACATGATTAAACAAGAAAATTGAGCTCGCTTTTATTCCTGTAGTGCTAAACTTGCCATGCTTCATTTTTGGGTCTCAGCATAAAGCATCCTGTTAAGAACATTATTGTTTAACATTGATTTGGATTGGATTATCTTTTGTTAAATTTAGGTCTCTTGTTTCTCCGTGTTTGTGATTCTGATTTTCATCATATACAGGGTGCTTCTGCTTTGATAGCTTTCCTGGTTTCTGCCGTCTTCCATGAGGTGAGTGGTTCATCTCTTTTTATATCTCCCCATCTATTGTGTCCCCCCCATTTTTTTTTGTTTACTCTTTTTAAGGAAGAGAACTTTATTCCAAAGAGGTGTACTGTATTGTTCACCTTTCTTAGATACTTTTTAAATAATGAGCATAGGTCTTCCGCTTCTGCTTGCGGAGACAAATCCTATCTTCCTTTGGCCGTCAAGATATTTGGAACTCAGGGCATGCTGCTCTATTAATTAATTGTTGGATAAACTATTCTTGTAGTTTAATCAAATTCTTATTCATGAGCTATTATGGGGAGCTTACATAATCTAAAAAACAACTCATGGACATGTTTATAAGTTATTTTCATCTTAAGTATCTAAGCACTAACAATCTAACATACTCCGTCCATCCCAAATTATAAGGAAAAAAAATAATTCACATTTATTAAGAAAATCAAATCATAATTATTTGGAGTTTAACTTTTTGTCTTTTCCTTGGAATGAATTTTACTGGAATATGTAAAAACATTTTTTTATTGGTTATTGGTTAAGGAGAAAATGGGAGGGAGCGGAAGTTAAATACAATTTGCATTCGATTTCATCAGAATAAGTAAAATCAATTCTTGAAAAAGAGACATTTTTGGAATAACATGATTAAATAGGGTAAAAGTTGATTCTTTGCCTTAAATAATTAGGATTTGGATCCTCTAAATTCCTTCTTCACTCCCTTATGCATCAAGTGCCTTCTCTTACATGTAAGTGTCAGCTATCATTCTTTGCCTTCCCACGTTTCATGTGATTCACTCTCCATCCACATTTTGGGCCTATCCTCATTAACTTCCATAAGTGTCATCTGTTCAGGGTTAGCAGGCCCATCTCTATCAGTTTCACTTCTGTTGAGTTTGATGATGTATATTTCCATCTATTTAAAATGGATAACCGAGTCTGTCTTTTAGGGTGCTTGAAAATAATATCCCATTCGCAGATGCCACTTTCGAAACAGAGGATTCCAAATTATATCTTCACATTTTCGTGAATTATTATATCACCCTATCTATCTCTATTAACAAGCTGGCTTGAACAAATTATGCTACTACCTGACCTTTAGAACTTGATAGAGTTGTGGCTACCTGGTCAAGGTTACAGATGTGAAATATTATTCTTGATAACTACTCTCCCAATTAAGTTCTCTAATATGAAGTTTTTTTCATGCTAAAATTTGAGACACCGGTATTAAAAAAACCCTGATATCATATGAATGAAAAGCATCTCAGTTGTTGACATTGAATAACTATTTATAGGCTTGAGATTGCCAGACAGACTAGTAAAACATTCTTATTCTTAGTTGGAATAAGATAATCCTAAAAGGAATAAGATCCCTATAAAAAAAACTCAAATCAAAATCTTTGAAATACAAAATAAATATTTCTATGAAACAACAGCTAAATAATTCAATCACCTCCTCCCCCAAAGACTAAAAGGCAAGAGAAGAATTTTGGCCGCAAAAAAGAGGCTCAAATATGCCTATGCCTTGATAAGGTGTTAGATGTCGCACATCAACAAACCTAATTTTCATGTCTCCGTGAAAAAGGCAGAAAATCAATAGGTTGGCATGGTTTAAAACTGTGAACAACTTCAAATTAACTCTCACCAACTTTTTAATTACTTTTCTCAAATGCAGCATTATATTTAGAATCCATGTTAAACTAGTTAACTATTAATGCCTTCAATCGTCCTCTTTGGAATATCTAAACTATGAAAAGGTTCTATCATAGGAAATCCATTATATCTGTTGGGACAACATATCATATCTGATAGATGATTACTGAAACTAGAGCCGATATCTTAAAAATGGATTCTTACATGGCATTCAGCAAACTGTTGTATACTCTAGTTTCTACCAGTGTAATTATAATGTTTTCTGTAGTTGAGTTATGTATTGTAATTCTGTAATTATAACATCATATATTAGTAGTAATTATGTTTTCAATGAAGCCTTTAGAAAATTTGCTCATAAACTTTCTTTCAACTGAGTGTAGTTATGCATTGCTGTTCCTTGCCGCATGTTCAAGATGTGGGCTTTTATTGGAATTATGTTTCAGGTAAAGAGGCTTAGTGTCACATTCTCCTTCTGTTTGTCCATTGAAGTTGGCTATTATAGAGGCTTCAACTATTATTTTAAATACAAAACTTACTCTTTTTTGTGGAGCCAACCCTCAAAACAATAAACTTTCACCTTAACAGGAAATGAAAGTTTGAAGTGATAATTTCTATTCTTCTTCAGTAAGAGAGAAATCTTCTAAATAAATTTCTGTGGTCTCAGTTGTAGTTGATAAATAAGACATTTTCTATACTTTAGATTCAGTTGACATGTATTGATGATGTTTTTGTGCTCTATATAGGTTCCTTTGGTCTTGATCACTAATTACCTGCAAAATAAATACAGAAACTCAATGGTATGTTTGTGAGGTGGCATATATTCAAGAATTTTAGTCAATTATATACTCATTATCTTCAAGTTGATTTATTGGTTTTAAAATTTTTTATTTTCTTCTTGCCAGGTTGGAAATATGATTTTTTGGTTCATATTTTGCATTCTTGGTCAACCTATGTGCGTACTACTATACTATCACGACTTGATGAATAGGAAAGGTGAAATTGACTGAGGTAGCAATAGCATTACCTCATTTCCAGTTATGTGGATGGTTTTTTTCCATATACAGGGCTGAATTCATGTACATATGTTGCTCTATGTTTTATCTGGTGACTATCATCTGCTTGGACATGGTTCCTATGGGTTAAGCATTTGCATACGATTTGCTGAGTCTTTTGAAGTTAATTAGTCCATGTGTTTATTTAATTGAATTGCTTTGGCACTAAAGCAATATATGCAAGCAATTTTGAAAGTGGCGCACAAACAATGTTATATGCTAAAGTAAAGACTAACAAACAATGTTTTGGATAATTGAGGCAAAGCTGTAAGTGCCTAAATGGTTTATAGCTGTAGATGATTTCTTATAGCTGTAGATGATTTCTGGAAGTTCTATCTAACAATAATGATGGCCAGTATGAAACTTGATTTTTCTGCATGCATGTTATTAAAAGAGTTATTAATCCCGAATAACGGAGCATAGCGGCCGACCTCCGGGAATGGAAAAAGTGAGAATAGCGGGATCCCGGATAGCGGAATAACTTTTTATATGCTAATAATTATATAATAATCTATAAAACATATGTCATGTAATATTAAATTAATTTCACAACACTCATAAAATATTTATAAAATCTAATGTCAAACAAAGAATAATGCTTAATCAAGATTCAAAACATAAAGATTCAAATTCAAACTTAGTACTATCATATGAAAATTCAAGCAAACATAAAAACCATGTAGCATCATCAAAATATTTCTCCAATTCTTCATTTTCTTCATATCCTCTAATTCTTTATATTCAACTTCTTCAAAATAGAAAGAAACCGTGTTTACAACAAAACAAAATAGAAGTAGAAAGTAGAAAGAAACGGTAGAAAGAAAAGAAGTAGAATAAGTTGAAGAAGTAGAATAAGTTGAAGAATTAGAAGAAATTACCTGAGATGGCAGAAGGAAATGGAGGAAGAACCGAAGAAGGAGAGTTGCAGGGAGATGGCAGCAGAATCGTAAAAGGAGAGTTGAGGAATTAAGACACGATAGAGCACATCGAATAAGGAAGAAAGAAAACAAAAACTGTTTTAAAATAGGAGCATTTAGGTAATTTGGCCCAGAAAATTATTTAGAAAAAAAAAGAGAATTGGAGCCGCTCCGCCCGAGAATTTCCTGCAACCAGTAGCCCGGTAACGCGGCTGAAGCGGCTGCTTTTTCATCTCTGCCACTACACTCTACATATCACAAGGGGGTGTCGCACTGCTACGTGCACCGCAATAGCGGCGTTCGTTATTGACAACTCTGGTTATTAGTTTCAAAATTTGTACGGCGTTCGTTATTGACAACTCTGGTTATTAGTTTCAAAATTTGTACTTAGAAAAGGGTACCACACTTACGTATGTCCTTGTGGATAAAACATTTCGAATTGCAAGTGTACATTTAAGTTGAGTTGATCATCGAAACACGGTGGTTCCATGAGATCTCTCCTACTCCCTTTGTCATATTTGATAGATTTGAAATTGTATTTTTGGTCGTGACTTGCATGAGAGGAATTTTTGCACAAGGTTAGATGTACAGATATCATTATATTGACATTGGGGCCGTTCAAAAGAATTGTCTAACCGTACTAAACTGTCAAATTGAATTAAATTGGAATTATTTAATCGAATCATTATTAATGGTTAAATGGTTAGTGAAACGAATTTATATTTTATTAATGGTTTTAGAATTCAACTGTTAAGTAATTAATCAATTTTACAATAATTCTGAACCGTATCGTTGTTATTTAAGTTTTAAAATTGATATTTTTTTAAATAAAAAAAATGATTTTTTCAGGAAAAAAAGTCATTTTTTTAATTAAAAAAGTCGATTTTTTTAAAAATAAAAAAAGAGTCAATTTTTCAAAAATTCGGTTTTTTTGAAAGTCAAAAAGTCAGTTTTTTCAAAAAATAAAAAAAGTTGATTTTTTCGAAAATCAAAAAGTTAATTTTTTTAAAAAATAAAGTAAAAGTTGATTTTATTGAAAGAAAAAAAAAATCGATTTTTCAAAAATTAAAAACTTGATTTTTTTAAAAATTAAAAAGGTCGAGTTTAAAAAAAAAATCAAATCAAAATTTCAATTTTTTCGAAAATCAAAAAGTCAATTTTTTCAAAAAAAAAAATCAATTTTTTCGAAAATTAAAAAGTCAGTTTTTTCGAATATCAAAAAATCGGTTTTTTCGAAATTAAAAAAGTCGATTTTTTCAAAAAAAAAAAATGGTGTTTTTTCGAAAATCAAAAAATCGATTGTTTCAAAAACTAAAAAAATTGGTTTTTTTCAATAATCAAAAGATCGATTTTTTCAAAATAAAAAATCGATTTTTTTCAAAATAAGAAAGTCAATTTTTTTTAATTCAAAAAGGTCGATTTTTTTTCGAAAATAAAAAATCTGATTTTTTCTAAAATGAAAAAGTCAATTTTTTTGAAATTTCAAAATTCAATTTTTTTTCGAAAATATAGAAAATTGACTTTTTCAAAAATCTAAAAAATAAATTTAAATAAATTTTTTATTAAAAAAAATCAAAACCGAATATAACAATTTAATTATTTTAACAAATAATTCAATTTATAATAAATTAACTTTTAATGATTTGGTACAGTTTAGAATTTTGAACTGTTATACCAAATCAAAACTTTTAATTTAATTCGATTTAAAAAAAATTAAAACAGTTTAATTCAATATATATATATATATATATATATATATATATATATATATATATATATATATATATATATATATATATATATATATATATATATATATATATATATATATATATATTATAGTTCGGTTCAATTCCGTTGGATTTTCTATCAGAATTGTACTCTAAAGAGCCCTTTTAACATCATTATCCGGCATTTGAGGGAAACTATTGCATATCATGAGGAAAAAACATGAAGAAAGTGATGTGAAAGGTGTGAAAGAAGTTTTCAATATTAATATAAGCCTCCAATTAAGTAAACTTCCTAGAAAAAGTCTAATATGACCCTCATAGCTATAGTTAGCAATTTATATACCCTCGTTGCCATAGTTTGCAGTTTGAATTAGGGGTGTTTGCGGTGCGATTTGGGTGGTTTTGAAGCAAAAAATCATCCGAACCGCAAGAGAAAAAAACATGCGGTTCGGTTGACTTTTAAAAATAAATCTGAACCAAATCAAACCAAACTAATGTGGTTAGGATTGGTTCGGTTGTTTCGATTTTTTACAAAAATAATTATTATGTCATACATACAAATATATAGGAAAATATAATTTTATATTTAATTGTTCATACATTACCATAAAAAATTTATAATTGTCAAAATAAATTTATAATTTGATACATAAAATTGCGTATTATAATTTTATCTAAATCTAAATAATGATATCAACAAGATTGCATTCTTAAATAAATATTATACAAAGAATATGATAAAATATATTTTGTGAAAATAGTATTTATAAATGAATAATATTTTATTTTTTATGATTTGTAAATTAAAATGAATATAATACAAAGTATGATAAAATATACACATAATACATGTTGATTTCTCTAAAGAATTATAGAAATATATATTGGTTAGTAAGATTTTATAACATAATGCAGTTTTGTTTGGTTTGGTTCGGTTTATAAAATACAAACCGCAAACCGAACCGAACCATGCGGTTCCACGAGAAAATGACCCAAACACATCCGAACCAAATGCGGTTTTTTGCGATTTCGATTTAATTTGGTTCGGTTTTGCGGTTTTCTATTGAGTCAGTTTGATTTTGAACACCCCTAATTTGAACGCCCCTCAAACTTTGGCCTCAATTCATATGTGACAAAATTTTCAATATTAATAAGCCTCCAATTAAGTAAACTTCCTAGATAAAAAGGCCTCCAAAACCAAAGCTGGTACACATGTCTTGATCTTTTCACCAATTACTTTTTTCCCATTTTCCATTAAAAAATAATTATTTAAAGAAGTATATTTTTCCTCTAAAAATACAGGAATTGAATTTCCCTCATTAAAATACAATAATAAGAATCGAGTTTTATAAAACGTAATTTATCAAAGAAATCGGATCTAGACCCATTTATCTATACTCTCAAATAAACACAATTTTTTCTCATCCTTCTATTGTGAATTATATCTTTGAAAATTTAAAAATGCTCTCAAATTTTTTTTGGAGATGCATATTTGAACGCACCATGACGAACGACTTCCAGGATTCATGTGCTTGAAGTGGAACAACGCGTGTCCACGATTCTGGTTCAACTGCCCCGCCTTCTTCGGATAATGGATGACTAATTCTTCAGAGGGCAAGAGGTCCCATGATAGTAAGAGGGAAGTTGACCACGTTCTCATAGAAGCACGTGGAGTAAACATTCCCTAACAGTTGAGTTGGGTCATATCGTTGGGCATTCTTCGAGAGAGCGTCGGATTGGGCCATGCCCTCCAATGGGCCAAATGCATGCCTAGTCCAGAACAGGATCCTCCCAAGTCGTTGCTCCTAAGTAGGAGTTATGACTTATGGGGCAGCTCACGTGTCGAGGAGGTAGAAGCTCGTGAATCGAGGAAAGGGTCTAGTTTCCATCGCCCTTGCCAATCTAGGTCAACAACTACTTGTCATTGCTCACGAGAAGATCCATGTTAGAGTCGTCAAACCGCGAGCGTTATGTCGACACCATCCTTCGCGAGCGGTTATGCTCGACCGCAGAAGACAAGCACGTTCTCTGTCGAGGTAACGCAGGCGTCGAAGGCCTATGGTTTTGGTGCTCGACGGTGAGACATGACATATGGGTCTCAGGGAAGCGCTCGATGGAGAAAATATGGAAAATTTGTTGCGTGGATTCGACTCGGGGATATGTAAAAGTGAGGTTGTGTTCGAGAATTTTTATTGACGTAAGGTGCGAAGAAATTGTTGAGGAAGCGTGGTGCTTGCGCTCGACTTCGGGAAATGAGGACTGAGCCACGGAGAAGTGCCCGGTTGAGAAAAAGTGAAGAGTCACTGCG